TGGATCTTGTTCTGCAAGGTTCTACTGCAGGTTCCAGCTGTCCTTTCCCTGAGGTTAGACCAGTTTCCTATGTGAGGTGTTGGTCCCTCCAACTTACTAACTCCTGTGGTCTGGCGTGCTTTTATTGCAGATATTTTCTTCACTTTTCCAGTGGGCTTCAATTTTTATCTAGGAGCCTCAGAGAAGCCCTCTTTCTCTTATTCATGGTGGCCACACTTACACACACACACACACACACACACACACACACACACACACACACTGCTGTGTTGACACCTGTGCATCTGGGCTTCTTTGCTGCTCTGCGCTGAAGGGGCAGGCCCACCAGAGCCATAGAGGTTTAGTGAATTGCAAAGTTTCTGTGCTTTAGCCTTGTCACTTACTGAATCTTGGAGTAGAAAGCAGTTATGAGGAGTCCAATGGCAATAACCATCCAGCATAATTACTGAATATCTTCTCCATGAGAAGTCAGTCTTCCCATCAAAAAATTAGAGAAAAGTGTGTCTCTGAGCTGTAACCCTCTCAGGGTATGTATTTTGGCACTATTCTGGCAAGATAAGCACAGGCTAGATTTTAATCTTTCCTTATCCTCACTCATTTGGTGGCCCATACAGTGTACAAACTATACTGTCATGAAGGGTAGCCTTCCTTTTATATGTTTAGATATTTTAGATATAAAACCAGGGATAAAACATTACTACAAGTTTTAACCAAGATGATATCATTTAATATTTTCCCTACAATAGTTAATGAATGCTGAACTATAGTCCAGATAATTGCAGATTAGATAAAAATACACTGTTCTACTTTTACTAGAAAAATGAATATGGCATAGGTAAATCAAATATAAAAAGTGAACAGGCAAATCTGATATTACCTGTTTACTACCTTGTAAAGTTTCAATACAGTCTATTAAATAATTGCTAGTAGAACAAACATCTGCAAAAATATGAAACTAAGAAACAATAGCTTGAGTAGGTTACCTGTTAGTCCTAAGTGATTCAGAAATATTAAAAGTATGGAAATATTTGACAGCAAACAATGCCCAATCAGTACATTAAACAGGAATCAATAAATGGTCTCTATTTCCTGTTTGGGGGTACTGGGGATCACACTTGGGACCTTGGGCTTGCAAGGCAGGTGACAGAACCACTGAGGTAAATCTTTGACCCTGGTGTCTATTTCTTAAAAGACTCAACAACTTATTCATTTGTATGAATCAGTTAGCTCTAAAAAGACCCCACCCCCCACAACTGAAGCCAAAACTAATTGCAGAAAGGACATGGAGCTTTTCCTTTTAGAAAAGTGTACGTGACCACAGGAGTGTATTTGCCCTTGACAACTCCCACACAGCAATTTTATGGCATTAATAAAAAAAAAAAAAAAAAAAAAAGCCAAAGCAAAAGCTGAATGCAACTAGCATTTTTGGACTTCACAGTACAAAACAGAATTCCTTTTATAATGAAAACAAAATCATGGACTTTGCTCACAGTAATTTTTTCTTACATGTTTAGGCACTTTGGAGTAGGCTGTGGCCAATCTAGAAAAACTGACATGAAAAAGTAATTTTATAGCATCCATATTAAATAGTCCTACAATTATACTGAATAAAGAGGTGAGAGATGTCCTAAATGTATAAAATGTTTTCGTTCTGACAAATGCACAGTAGAATCATCTTGCAGAAAAATGTGGATGGGCATTAGTATACTTCTACACCCATACTATGTTTATCTGCTGATGGTCTAAAGCAGGGGAAGCAAACTGCCAGCACCAGAGCCTGAGCATATGCAATTTCTAGCTCACATTCTTCTTAGTGTTTGTTTACACAATACTTCCAAATGTAAGTACCATTCTTACTTTGCAGACCATTCAACTGTAGACTGGATTTGGTCTTTGACCTGTAGTTAGCCAACCCCTGGTCTAGAGACTTTTGATATTATAATACAAGCACAAATGATCTTTGAATTAATATTTATAGGGAACTACACTCATATGTTTAAAATATTTCTCTAATGTGTTCTGCTGCAACCTTAGATCTGACATTGCCAGAAAAGTTTAGGAAACTTTATGATACTTCTGTGAATATTCAAGTTACCAGTGACTAAATCTAGTTCAAATATCAACACTGTTCTCTTCAAAGAAATGAAGGTCACAATGAGCAGAGCACACAGTATAATGTAGCTGGTGCTATAATATTGATAGCTGCTGAATTGAAGAGAATAAGGGGAATTTTAGGTTACTTTGCAACTTGTAATTTAATTTTTTGATTTGGATTTTAGGAAGATGGCTTGTTCAAGCCTAGCTTAGGCAACTTAATGAGACCTTGTTTCAAAAAATAAAAAGGGCTGAGGATGCAGCTCAGTGAAAATGCCTTGGGTTC